GCCCCCCCCCCCCCCCCCCCCCCCCCCCCCCCCCGCTGCTGGCAGCTCCACTACAGAAGCTGCTCCCCGCCCCACCCCACCCCCCAACTCCCACCTGCTGCCGACCCGACCCGGGCTCCGCCAGACTTGAGGGTCTTGGGGCGGTGTCTTCCCCTTTCTCAGCCGTCGGGGAGGTGCCAGCAAGTAGGCATGGCCTTGGTGTGCCTTGTCCCCCCCCCCACCCCCCGCTGCCCCCGGGCGGCTCAGCGTTTGCTGGGCCAGGAGGCCGACTGCCAGATCGTCATCCCACCCGCGGCCTTGGGAGCCCGAGGAGGAGGTGAGGGGCAGGCAGAGATTCTGCAGGGCACCGATAAGATGGGCAGAGGGACGTGCCCCCTCAGTCCCCGCAGCCTTGGCGGCTCTGCACCTCGGGACCTGGGGTCCAGGCCTTGTCCCCAGAGTGGCCCTGGGGCTTCATCCTTCTCGGGAAGGGCAGAAGCTGGGGTGGGAGGGGGGCCAGGGCTGGGGGCAGGCTCCGCTGTGGGGATGAGGGCCTATCACGGTTTCTGACTGCTCCTCAGGACCTGGCCTCTGAGGGGACGTTTCCCAGCCCCAGGGACGTTTCTGGACGTGGCGATTCCTCCGTCCCTGGCCCCGCAGTGCTGGGGGAAGCTGCATGGACGAAGGGAAGGACAGGGGAGGAAGATCAGGGTTGTACAAAGGGATGCAGAGCCTGTATGTACTCCAGGAATGGCGTGTGGGGTACAAGGTGATCTCTCCCCAGCAGCCCTTGCTGAAGTGCAGTGGTCAGTGCTCTGGAAGAGAATCCAAGAACTGATTTGGCTCTTGGTTCTACTTCTTAAAAGCTGTGTGTCTACCTTTAACATGTAGCCGGTCCTGCTTTGAGTGCTTGTAAAATGGAGACAATTCCTACCTTACAGGGATTCCACACCACATGAGATTAAAAAAAAAAAATGCAGTGTGCAAAGGCAAGAACAGTGTTCCAAAGGCACTGTGAACGTTGGTCATATCCAAGTCTGAATTTTCTCGAGGACCAGGGCTAGAGGCCAGGATACACCAGAGGTATCGGCCAACCCTGCCGGAGAAGCACCCAAGGACTTCCCTCACCCTGGGTCACATCTCCCCATTCCCTTCTTCCCCAGTGCTATCACCTGGGGCTCCCAAGGGGTCATCTTGCTCTTTAGTGTGCTCCCAAGGCCCATAAATGAGTTCCTCAGGCAAAAGCCACCCTGCCTGCGTCTGATGGCCAAGATTAAATGCCAAGCAGAGATTGTGCTGTAGAACAGTGTGTGGGGTATGATTGTGTGTGTGTGTGTGTGTGTGTGTGTGTGTGTGTGTGTGTGTAGAATATATGTGTAAAATACGCTTGCATATTCCTTTTCTATGAATATCAAAGAGTAGCCAATTTTCGTTTCTATGAAAATTCATGGGTGGGTACCCAAGAAACTAACAGTGGTTTATCCCCAGTGCAACTGGGATCAGGGGCAGGGAGGAGAGAGGACTTCTAAAATGTCTGCCAGTCATTACCACTTGAGTATTTTTACCATGTGCATGTGTTTTGATTTCAAAAGATACAGATGAGGGGCGCCTGGCTGGCTCAGACAGTAGAGTGTGCGACTCTCGATCTGGGGGTTAACGGAGTTCGAGCCCCACTTTGGGTGTGGAGCCTACTTGAAAATAAAATCTTATAGAAAAAGATCTAGTTGATAAATTGATACTTAGATACAGATGATAGAAAATGGTGTATTGGGTGGATATATTGGATGGTATAATGGATAAATGATAGGTCAGTATGAGCCGAGACAGGTCAACAGATATGTCCGTGTCTCAGTTTCCTCACATATGAAATGGTACGTACGTCACAGGATTATTGTGAGGATTAAGTGACAACCCATTAGAGCCCTTGGAACAGTTCCTGACACACATTAAGTGCTCAATAAATGTTCTCTTTAGTGTAAAAATGGTGTGGAAGGAGACAGGCTGGCTTGATGTGATAATCTCTTTCGCCATCTTGTGGTCAGCGTATGCCATGCAGGAGTATCAATACCAGTAAGGCCTATTTTCATCCGTCTTTGTAGGGGAGTGTATGAGTTCAGGCCTTAGGGGGGTCGTGAACTTATGACTTTATTATTTTTTTATTTTCTTTCTTGTGGGGGGAAACCTATGACTTTTAAAATAGAAAAAGAGTTTAAGTGGATAAACAGCTTTATAAATAAGCAGGTGAGGCTTTATAAATAGCTAGACGAGACTTACAGTCCTCTACTCCGTACTCCGCTCTTAGATCCTGATCCCCAGCCCTGACAGTGTCAAGGAGGAACGGTACATTGACTGGTTCTTGTTTGTTCTTGGACCTCTCTTTATCCATCAGACTTCTTAGTTGTAAGCAACAGAACCCATTGTAGCTTCTTGAAGCAGAAAAGGGATTTTGGGGGGGGCGGCGCCTGGGTGGCTCTGTTGGCTGTCTGTCTTTGGTTCCCGTCATGATCCTGGAGTCCCAGGATCGAGCCCCGTGCCAGGCTCCCCCTTTGCCCTTCACCCCGCTTGTGCGCTCTCTCTTGTTCTCTCTCTAATAAATAAATAAAATCTTAAAAAAAAAAGAAAGAAAAGAGATTTTTGTTAAGGGCTATCAGAGCTCCAGAAGATCTCCAACAGGGGACAGCATCTGGCTTGGGGGCTAGACAGCCAGGGCTCGATGCAATCCCACCTACTCTAAGGACAGGCACTGCTGAGATGAACCTCAGGACCGTGGCATTAGGACATCTACTACAAGTGCCTGTGAGAACTCGGGCTCTCTAGTCCAAATTTTCACCAGGCATGGATTCAGCTGGAAAATTATCTCCTCACTTGTTTCTCTCTTCAGATTCAAAGTCCCCGATGGGAAGCATCTGATGGGTGGAGCCTAGGGCTCCTACCTCTCCCCTAGGCTGAATTCTGCTTTCCATCTCAGGGAGGAGATGATTGCAGGGATTCTTGATTGCAGGGATTCCAGAATTTAGAAAGGCTACTCAGGGGCGCCTGGGTGGCTCAGTTGGTTAAGCGACTGCCTTCGGCTCAGGTCATGATCCCGGGGTCCCGGGATCGAGTCCCACACGGGGCTCCCTGCTCGGCAGGGAGCCTGCTTCTCCCTCTGACCCTCTTCCCTCTCGTGCTCTCTATCTCTCATTCTCTCTCTCTCTCTCTCAAAGAAATAAATAAAAATCTTTAAAAAAAAAATAGAAAGGCTACTCAGAAGAGGCCGACTAGGGCAGGGGGCGCAGTTCTGTTGCTGGGGAGAGGATATTGAGCACGCGTGCTTCAAAATCCCATGTCCCTTCCTGTCTAGCAATAGGTTCTAGATATGGTCCAGGCACTGCTGGCGATCTAGGTCTGTTTAACTCTGTTAAATTCCATATTCATTGACCAGTAATACCAAATGGGAGGGTTCTTTTAGGCTGGACACTTCATAGGGGCAGGGACTATGTCTGTCTGGTTTATCACTGTATGCCCCAGCAGCAAGCTTGGCATCTCAATCCACGAGTGAAGGGACAAGTTAAGGTGGCTACTTTCCTTATGTAGTTGTAAATTTTCACTGAGACTTAGGGCCCCTACTCTCAGGAGAAGCCCAAGGGGTACAGTCTGGGGGATGTCTTGTTGAGTAAGAGGGATCAAAAGAGAGGTAGCTTCCCTTGTCCCAAACTACAACTTCACGTAGGCTTTCTGCCTCCCCTCCAGGAGGCTTACTGCCTGAGTAGACACAGTCAGTGTCTCTATTCAGAGGGAAAGGACAATCAAGCACGGACCACCAGAATTTACCGTTCAGACAGACGCTTTCTTGAAAAAATACTGCACTCGGGACATATTTCGAGGAGGGACGTATGCAATATCCCGACAGTGGCATTGCTCAAGGTGGCTGGGTCTGAAAGCTTCTCGGAATTGACCTTTTACATCTAGCAGGGGGGACAGCCAGCAGCTTCAAAGGAGATTTGCCCTACCCATCACGGAATGGCACCTCGCCACCTCTGGCTACATCTGTTGAAAGGCACGGGCCACCAGAGGGAGCAGGTGTGCCTCTGCTGGGGTGGATCAGGGCACTTCCCGGTTGGATCCCCCTCTGCTCTGGAAAACCACCACTGTTGCTCAGCAACAGGGAGGCCGGCCCCGTGTAGGGTCCCGGCCTCCAGTTACCCACCCAAAGTGAGACAGGGAATGTAAAGGCCTGCCTTCAGATCACCTCTGCTGTAGCACTTTGGGGCTTACTGGCCACTCAAAATGTGGCCTGCCATCCCTCATCATTTCCAGCGTCCCCAAGACCACCCACACATGCACTGAGTTCGATAGGACTCAAGGGACTCAGTATATAATTGTACTCACAGCTAAGGTGTGTTACAGCAACCAGATACACAAGGAGATCAACAAGGGGGAAAAAAAAAAGACACAGGTGGGGCCCTGAGGCTTCCTTATGCTCTCTCCCTTCTGTGAGGGGGGTTTTACCAAGCACGCTCTTCCTCCAGAGTGGAAATGCACAATACGGAGGGGATGTTTTTGCCCAAGGATGCTCACTCAGTGTCCAAGATTGTGTGTGTGTGTGTGTGTGTGTGTGTGTGTGTGTGTGTGTGTGTACTTAGCTGGGGGAATGGTCACTAGGCACCCTCTACCTAGCATGTACCCAAATCCCAGATTCTCAGAAGGAAAGCAGGTGTTCAGCATAAATGACATTTATACAAACAGGTGAGGGACAGTGGACCACTCTTATCAATGAGGGAACGGGTCAAGTGCCGTATTAATTTTCCATTCCCGCTGTGACAAATCTCCTCAAACTTAGGCGCTTAAACTATACGAACTATTATCTTGGCTCCCCGGAGGTCAGAAGTCCAGCACAGCCTGACCGGGCTGAAACCCGGGTGTGCATTCTTTTCTGGAGGCTCCAGGGCAGGATCTGGTTCCTGCTTACTCAGGTTGCTGGCAGAATTCAGTTCAGAGGTCCCTGTTCCGTTGCAGGCCATAAACTGAAGGCTGTTGCCGGCTCTAGAGGCCACCACATGCCTTGGCTTTCGAGACCTTTCTCCATCTTCAAAGCCAGAACAGTGAACGGCATTCACCTCAGCCACCACATCCTTCTGGCCCCCCTTCTATCATCCCATCTGTCTGGCCCACAGCTGGGAAAAGTTCTCCATTTTTAAGGACTCATGTGATTAGATTAGGCGCACCCAGATAATCCAGGATCATCTCCCCATCTCAAAGTCCTTAACCTTAATCACATCTGCAAAATCCCATTTGCCTTGCAATGTAACATATTTATAGGTTCCAGAGATTAGGATGTGGGCATCTTTAGGCAGC